AACTAAAATCCCTATATCTCGATCAAATCTCACACTGAGTCAAGGAACCTTTCAGGAAACGCTCAAGACAGCTCATAAAGCATAATCGAAGACGAAAAAGGTGAATTTCACCCGGGCATTGTTTTAAGGTTTTCCAGAAACCTTCTGAAAAACCTCAAAGCGTCAGTGTTCTGCTGGACTACTTTTTCGGCATGATCAACAATATATGGCACCCTTTAAGTCTTTCCTGAAAGGTTCCTTGACTCAGTGTGAGATTTGATCGAGATATAGGGATTTTAGTTTTTGCTAGTAACAGGCGAAAAACCGTTTTTTCACAAAAATGCCTCTGGCGAAGTTATGTTCATTTCTATACAAAAACAAATGTTGCTACTATGCTCACCGTAGTCGATTACCTATGTTCCATGGCATTTTAAGATTCCCAGAGATGTCTGCTCGGAGATAAACACGAGCCCGGGAAAGCGAGATCTATCCGAACGAAGATAGCTGCAGAGCCGGGACTTGCATAATTTTGTAGAGTCACGTCTGAACTATATACGCATGCAAAAAAATAACTAACATTGTATGTTAGTTTTGTGAGAATGGAGCTGGTTTTCCAAAAATCCTCTGGAAATCCGATCTTTGAAATTTTTTTAAAAGTTGTTTGTGCTTGTGAAAAGTTCCGCTCAAGTCTTGGCTATCGAATAGCGAAAATCGTAGGTCTCTATCTCATTCCTATCAAAAGTTATTCAAAAAATGCCCACCGGCACTGTATTTTGGAATGGATAGTAGTATATAATTTTATGCTCAATATCAGTAGGACTGACTACTCATTGATAAGACGCTATCTTTAGTTTTATGTATGTGTTTACTTGTTTAGTGTTGATCAGGGATATTGCTCAACACCATCGTCAACATGTACAACACCAACTGTAGCATCAGATATATCAAACACAAACTGAAAAACCATCTTTATATGTATACACAATGTGATATTTCTTCTAGTACATAACTTATTAATGTTTTTTTGCTCATATTGGTCAGATATCTATTTGCTTTTTGCTCCCATGGTTTTTGATTTAGATAGAGAAGTGGTTAATTTTATTATGTCTTTGTTTCTTTTTTTTTGTTATCATTTTATTGAAATATATATTTCAATAAATCTTCTGAATGATATTAAGAGTAGAAAACACAAGAAATACAAAAAAATAAATGACAAAACATTTTAACAAAAAACATGATATCGTTCATACTAGTGGTCTTAGTTTGCGCACATTGCGTGGTAGTGGTTGCTTGCCCATCTAAAAGAAAGCAAACATCACTTTGCAACATTCTTTTCATAATAGTGTTTTTTTCAAAAACCTTCATCAAGAATTATAAAAGGTTTTGTGAAAGAAAAGCTTTTTATATACGTTCAGATCAGAAAATAAGTTTTTTATCATTTCATTAAAACTTGTTTGGTAGCTCTATAAATATTAGCCAAATATGTAACTCAGTGAGATCTACAAACTGATCAAATCACAATCTTTTGATCTGTAGATTTGTAATGGAACTATAGAGATTGAAATTGTGGTGATCCACCCAGGAAGAGCCTATTAATAGGAAATTGTTTTTCTGGAACTTGCACGGAACAAGTAACTGGAATTTGTTTACTCTGTATCCTATGTCAACTCAAAGGTCACTATTGGTTATTTCAGAGAAGTCTGATCGCTTTTGTGGCGCGAATATTGAGGTACGATCGACTATGATACCGATATTTCGGAACTTTTTTAACCTGATATTTGTTAATAAGATAAGATAAGATTTATTTTTACTAAAGAGCAGGATATCACAAAAAAAAAGAAGCAAAATCTTGTGGCATCCGTGGATACCCTGTGATAACCTAAAACTAAAAATTTCAAATAATGCACATGGGTCTTCAGTTTAACAAAAGTTTCAGTCTAGATGATCGAATTGACCGCACATGTGGTCGAGCTCTATGATACTGCTCTAAGACGAATGAAGCGGTAAAAAGGACGTACTCATGTCAAGGTCGGGAAGAAACGGCTGATTAATCAGCTTATTAATGGGTAAAGAGTGATGCAACGGTTTAAAACAAATGATAAACGACTTACTGGTTGATCTAAACTGTTTATTTGATTAAGTAGATCCTAAACGAAAAAAAAATTTAGACAAAGTGGTATTATCGATCATCATTACCGCTTTTTCTCGTCCCCATTGCATTGCGTTCTCTTGAAACTACAAAGAAAATACAACATATACGAGTAAATAAATCAGCGTCTAATATTCTTACCCGAGCTCTTAAGTTTGCTAATTGTTGTTCATACATAACATTTTGTTTAGCAAGTTCGTCTTGAGCACTGGTTGCATAGTTGCTCTTCGGTACTCTTCTCTGAATGAAACATACAACATAACTCTGTTTTAGTATCCATCACGTAATAGAATAATCACCTGAAGTTGTTGTGTTTCTATTCCTACTTGGGCATGTTCTGACAAGAAGCTTCTATCAACATCGGTAAATGCTCCTGATAAATAGAAACTTTATCTTATTCTGTTTTAGTTGCATTATTACATCTCACCGCTACCTTTCAAACGTTTTTCTTTCATGTATGTATTGATCATTGCTTCTAATTTTTCAATAACTAATTCTTGACGTCGAACAGTTTCTTCTAGACCATCAGCTCTTGCAAGTCTGTCTTTTGTTAACTGTAGTTCGTTTTCACGTACCTGACTTGATTTTAATAATGTTTCATATTGTGCTCGGAATTCACTACGCTGCAAACAAAAGAAAAACAAAAATTCGTAAGCACAATATAGCGAGTAATTTTAGTGCTAGATCAATCCCTAACGCGAAAAAGTAACTCGAATGCATTTCGAAACGAGTTAACAAATTTGACTAACACACGTTAAATGCAAGTCATTATAAATGATTTTAATTCACATGTAAATTAATGCTGACAAACATGTAAATAATGTGAGAGTTTTAATTACATGTTAATGAATATAATACGCGCCATTGTCTTGCACATTTCAAGTGCGGAAAATGTAAATTTAATGCACTAGAACACATTTTTTTAAGCAAAATGAGTCTGAAATCTTTGATGTATGTTAAATTAACCACAATCACACAATATCAATAACTGACTAGTAATGAAGCAACTAAATGATTCTATACTAACCGTCTGATACTGTCAGGAAATACCTGCCTTTAATTATTCATATGACTTTTGATTTTAAGATGAAAAAAGATCTTTAACATGTTATAACGGAAGTTAATGCGTTTAAAAAGAAAATTACTGCGTGTGTATGCATTATTGCTAAGCCATACGTTACCACATAAAGGACGTAGGCCAATAAGTAATGACATGGGCATTGGAGTCTAGGAGTGGTGGCAGCGAATGTAAATTGAGCCAAAGTTAACTTCTTATCAAGCAAAAGGACGTGGATAAGCGATGCCATCGGCTCAAAAAACTTTGAAGAAAAACCTATATGATTAAAATCAGCATCGAATTC